CTCACACATGATCACAGGCCCAGGTTATTCTGAACAATACAGTCATGGATAACATAATACAGATATTCGAAGTGTGTAAAACACTGTTGTGGGTTCAAAATGACTCTATTTTCAACTAACCACTAAAAATTTCTCTCATGTTGGAATAGAATTACATGCTGGCTCTCCCAGTTTCTGACCCCAGCCTACTTCTAACATGACGGCCGTTCCTGATCACGGAAGAAAAGTCCCACTGTGCTCCGGTTTACATCAGCACGAAAATCACATCGTTAATGTCACTGTATCTCATTCCAAAATAAACATTAAATTAAGGCACATTTAATGTAACTCAGTTGCATTCAAAGGTTTACTACTGAACCAAAACACAAAGTATGTTCCTAGGACAAACGAATATTCATTTAAAATAGCCATGACCAAGTTTAGGATTGATATCTTTCTCTCTCTGTACAGTTCTACACTTCTTGGTGAATGATTTTCATAAATCTTGGCTTTAGAGTTGTGTGTGTCTACGTGTGTTTCATGTAAGTCAGTATAGATTTAGTCTCTTAAAAGTAAATACATCACTTTCAGGTAAATAATTTCTAAAATTTCTCTGAGAAAAATATTTTCTTTATTAGCAGAGGGATAACTGCATCAATTGGTATTTCTCCTCTCAGCTTACAGGGATTCTACTCTTTAAGAACTGTAAGCAACTGCCTTTAATTAACTAATTAATATATACTAGAAATATGTTGAGATTCCTCATATTGTAAAAACAATGGAAATGACATCAAGGATCAAGGGGGAAAAAGTGGGTTTTGGTTTAAAGCACATTTTCAGTTTATTACCCTCAGATAAGGTGTAATAATTCCTCATATAATTTGTTCATTTGAACATAGAATTTTTAAAAATTCTTGGGCAGCGGGGGATGGCCAGAGAAGAAATGCTTGTCTGAAAACAGTACAATCTTCAGAATATTTTCCTTTTAAATTTTTTATTTTGAGATCATTGTAGATTCCTATGAAGTCTTAATAAATAATACACAGAGAATTCCATTATACTCCTTGCTCAGTGTACCCCAGTGGTAAATCTTGCAAAACTATAATGCAATGATTACCACCCGAGAAACTGACATGGCACAACCTCAGACCTCATTCAGATTTTACCAGTTTTACATGCAGGCACACATGCAGGCACATGTATGCATTTCTGTATTTTTCATCCTATGCAATTTTATCACATGTGCAGACCCAGGAGCCCACATGGAGCATCTTCGTGTTTCCTGTTTTTAGTGTTTCGTGTTGGCTTTCCTTTTGAACGCATTCATGCCTGTATCTCTTAGAGCCCATGTCTTCTTTACGGCGTTCTGTTTCTTGGCTACAGTAACTTATTCATCCCTTCTTTGAATTTTATTGCCTTCTTCGTGAGCTCTTTGCTAGTGGAGAACTTTGTATTTGGTTTGCTTTTTGCAGCACATTTATCCTTTCCCAGGAAAAGACACAAACATAAACAGACATTCCAGCATGCATTCACAGGGTTTTTAAAGACACCAGTGAGAATAGATTAATATAAATACTAAGCTTAAAAACTGTCATAAAAGCTCAGCCTTTAAAATTGGCTTATTAAAATATTTGTTTTTTTTAAAGCCCAGATTTAAACTAAAGTTACGAGTTACAGTGCTCTGCTCCGAAAGAGTTTACTTTATGCTCTTTTTGCCAGGCAAAAGGAATCTGGCATTCACGCTGTCTACCCAGAATACAGTGAAGCAAGAATGATGAAAACTCAATTATTTTAGGCTCAGTCTTGTCTGAAAATAGTACCATCTTCAGAAAATCTCAACTAAGTTTTTAAAATGACCCCAAACAGCCACTCTCGAAGTCCCATCCCTGCAGCCCCCACCATGGCCAGATGGGTAGCAAGACTTCCTTTATGCAAGGACGAAAGAATTGCAGATATTTAAGGGAGCAATACCCACACAACAGAGGTCAGCTCCCTTCGCTCACTTTATCGATGGGTATTTTATAACAAAACATTGCTTATATTTCAGATGGCTGGGTCTTTCATTCTACTCTGACCAATCAAAAGTTCTCCTGGGATTCGCATTTCTCTTCTCCACAGTAATTAATTTTCTATGAAGACCAGTTAGCATTCTGAGTACAGCAGTTAACAAGTACCTCCAAGCAGTGAGTTCTCAGGAAGGAGGACAAAGGGTTCATATACTGCACAGTGAGGTCATATATACTCTGTTCTCTAAAGTCTAAAATTTCTCACAAAAATTAAAAGTTTGTTGAACACAGTAACCTACTGAAAATCTGTGCATACTGCACAAGTTAAGAGAAGATTTTTTTTAAAGGGTAAAGCAGAGAATAGGAAGAATGTCCTGTAAGTAATGTCATCCCCGCCACCTTCCAAGCCAGGTGCCTGTGACCCTGCTTCTAAGGCTCAGGCTTTCAATGAGAACCCTGAAAACTCCATCTGAGATTTTCTGATTAGATGAACCCAGCTGACTGTCCAAAGACACCTGATTTATTGTCTATTTGTGTTTTTAAATACTAGGCCAAAGAAGAAAGTCAAGATAAATATTAGCACCAGCCCTACTCCACCATTTCCTGTGTCTCTCTTTATATCAGGGGCAATTAGGGTTTTCATTGTTGTTGTTCCACTGGCACAGCTTTTTTCATACATGTGAAAACATCTCACATTAGACATTAAAATCACATACAATTACTGAAAGGTCTAGAAATTCTTTGCAGATATATATATATAACTAATGCTTCCTTAATATGTCACAATTAAACAACAAATACCATTTAGCAACATTTTCAGGAAATCAAACCCATTATGGCTGTATTTATACTCACAGAGACTAATGGGTTTAAAACAAAAAGAATATCAAAATATTTGCCTGACCTCCTTGGTTAAGTAAAAACAAGGTGTGTCCAGACTCATCAACGTATCAAGAATTTCCATATATCCCTAGTTTTCTTGTACAAAGTGGGTATCGATCTACCTAGAGAAACTGGTTTATTGGAACTAGTCAGTTACATTCAAGTATATAAAAATAATCAAGCCCCCATATAGAACATTTTCTCTAGAGCTGAATGTGTCATCTGTTACATTTTAAGAGCTCTTCCCAAAAAAGCCTAAATGCTTGTCATTTATTATAAGTACTAGCTTTTATTTTTATATAATCTTTAATTGTGGTCTATGACTGATTCTCTAAGTTTTAGGAATGTAATTATTTTAAATAAATTTTAAATAATCCTACTAAATTTTGCTTTAAGGTAGTATTTCCTGGTATTTGTCTTCAATAATTTTCTGGAGGGAAGTCTTAATGATAATTCTGTTGACATTTTCCTTAAACAAAGCTGTATGTGTATGTTTTAAAAAGATGACATTCCTCATCTGTTTGTTCTTATTTCAGATGTGCTGTAAACTATGGATGGTATAAATGGTAAATGGTATTAACTAATGGAAGCTCATAATTTAGGCAGCAAAACCCAGAATTAATGTATTATCCCACTGTAGCATTTTAGTACTCCGCCAATCCAAACTTTCTTTCCTAGAGAAATATGTGATTGAGACACTTTCCATCTGTTTTTGACAAAGACAGGAGAAGAGTCCCATAAGTTATTCTCTGCTAAAAATTCTTTTCTAAAAAACCTATGGAACAATCGCTATCTTAGGGAGCTGTTTCACCAAAAGAATTTCCAGCGGTACAAATAAAAAAAAAAAAGTAAGCCACCTGTGCTACATCAGCCTTTTGTGGCCAATAGCAAAAACATTTGTGGATATGAAAGAACCACATTAAAAGAAAGAAAGAAAGAAATAGGTATGTTTGGGAGGTTGGGCGGCTGCATGCTCTTGATTAATCTAAATTCCTGCTGTGTCACATAGAGACTTTTATAAAAACATTGCAAGATTAGCAAGAAACTAAAGTAAACTAAGTAGGAAGGATTTTTATGCCCCCTGCCCCAAATCTGTACCTTTCCATCCCGGAGAGCGCTTTAGGCGGGAGATGCCCGCTGCCTCACGGGGCATCCTGGAAAGGGCGGCGCCTCCGCAGTTAGGGCTTGTCTAAAGGGGCTTCGAAGGTGTCTGGTGAAAGGGGGCGGGTGCGGGGCACCCCGAGCGCTCTTCCAGAGGAATCCAGAACTTTAATGCTCCGGCAGCTGCGTATCCTTTGCCTCTCCGCACAGGGGCCGGTCCGCACCGCCTCCCTTTCCCCGCAAACCTGTTTCCCAGCCAGGACCCCTCGCTGCACGCAGGGCGGGCAGAGCCCCCACCCAGACTCTCCAGGTTCAAGGCTGGCTCTCAGCTCCAGGGCCGCTCCACCTGCCTGCGGGCAGCGGAGTCTGCCCCCGCCGGCCTCGGCTCTGTTTCCCGCGCTCCAGGCGCAAGGCGGTCCCGGCTCTGGGCTGCGCCGGCCCCGGAGCCGCGGGCGCAGGGCAGAGTCCTCCCGCCCACCCCAGGCAAACCCGGTCGCCGGCCCGCACCCCTGCGCCTACGAGCCGTCCAGGGCACCGACGGCAGGGCTCTCGAAGCCGGGACGCCCGGCACGAGCAGCCGGCCAGAACGGGTGACCGCACGACGAAGCGCTCTGCTGCTCCCGGGAGGGGCGCGAGGCCACAGCCCCGCACCACCCGGCTCGGCAGCTGCCCGGGCGGCCTCCGCTCCGAGGAACGCAAAGGCATTTGGTTCCCCTATCTCGGCGCCTGGCCTGCTCCAGGCGGTTCTCCTGATGCCCGCTCCCCGACGGTCACCCACTACCCCCAGGAACACCAAGGACCGAAAAGGCACTGTCACCAGCCCGCCCGTTCCCAACTGACACCCTGCAGGGACGCTTGCAAATGGCCCCAAGGGGGCCCCTGGGCCACGGAACTTCCCATCCCCTCCCTATCTGTGGCTAGAAGGCAAAGCGCACCCATCCTCGCCACCGCGACCGCGGGGCCCCCACGAGGACGGATACGCCTGCCGCCCGCCCCCCGCAGCGGAGGGCGTCCGTCGCGCGCAGCACCTACCCTGGCGCGCGGGTCCAGACACGGGTGGCGCGGCGCTAGTGCGAGGCGGACATGGACCACGCGCCCTCCATGCGCCACACGGAGAAGGCGTAGCTGAGGCGCTCGTGGGCCACGTAGCTGCAGCTGGTCATCTTATTGTCCATCTCGTCGCTCTGCAGGACCTGGTAGAGGAAGTCTATGTACCTGGCGGCCAGCTTGAGCGTCTGGATCTTGCTGAGCTTGTCCGAGGGCAGCGTGGGGATGATCTTGCGCAACGCCGCGAAGGCCTCGTTGAGCGACTGGGTGCGCTGGCGCTCGCGCACGTTGGCCAGGATGCGCTGGCTCTGCAGCTCCTCGAAGGACTGCGCGCTCGGGCTGCCTTTCTTGCCGCGCTTGCCGGGGGTCGGGCTGCCATCTTCGCTCGACTTCTTGCTGTAGCGCCGCTTCCGGCCGAAGCGCTTCGGCTGCCGCTCCAGCTCCTCCTCGCTGGTGCCCAGGCTGTCCACGGGGGACACGGGCGAGCTGGAGCCCCCCTCCATGACGCCCGCCCGGCGCGCGTGGGGCTGGGGGCGCCGAGCGCGCGCCGCTGGCCGAGCCCGCGGTCGGTCGCCGAGCACACGCTCCCCGAGCTGCTCGAAAGGCTCTGATTTCAAGGCCGGCTTGTGCAAAACCGAGGTCTCCGGGAGAGGAAGTTATTCTAACTTTTTTGGAAACTCTAGCCGGGCTGGGTTGCTAAATAGTTGTCAGGAGCGAGGGCGGCGCGCTGATTGGCCGCCGCGGCCGGGGGCAGGACAAGTTCTGGAGCCTTCGCCGGCCGCCCCCGCCCCCCGGCGCGGCACTTTCAGTTTTGGCTCCCCGGTCGGCTCCGGCCGCTGCGGGCACCCGGCAGGCTGGCCTTCGCTCCCCCTCCCCGGGATCGGGCCACTCTCCGGCCTCCGCGCGCCCTGGGCTCTGCCCACCCAGCTTTGTCGGCTCCTAACCTGGAGATCGAGCCCCGCTGGGCTGCGGGCTGTCTCCCGGGGCACCAGGGGCGCGGGAGGCGAGTCTTACCCTAGATGCGCTCCCAGGAGGTGAGGACGCGGCGGGGAGCCTCCGGAGGCTCCCGGGCCTGTGTGCTCCTCGGATGCCCAGGACGCGCAGTGAGTCCTGGGCTGGGGGACCTGCGCGGGCAGGGGTCCTGGCGCGCCGACAGCGGGCATGCGGACTCAGGAGTCTCCTTGGAGACGCAGCTCCACGCGCACACGCCACGGGGATCCTTGGAGACGCGCCCGCTCTGCCCAGGCCTCCAGTCGGGAACCGTTTCTCACCCCAGGCTGCTGGGGAGCCCCGGTCGCGACGGCCTTCGCAGACCCTAAGTGCCTTAAAACCTCAGCGCCACAGCAAGCCTCTGCGCCCGGTGCCGCCGCGTCCACCTGCCCGGCCGTGCCCGTGGTGCTGGCAGCAGGACGCCGGCGCCGCTAGGCCCTTGGTGCCGGATCCCAGCCTCTGTTCGCGCTGCGGGGAGATGCGCGGCCCCGCCGGCAGCCCAGCAGGAAGGCGCGCGGCGGCGGGAGCGTGGGGCCTAGCCTCGGCGGGCGGCACCGTGGACCCCGGCCCCGCGCCATCTGGACGCCGAGCGCGGGCGCGTTTGAAGTGGTTCGGGGGGCTCTTTGTTCGCCAGGCCGCTCTGGCTCGGGGCCTGGAGGTGGTTTACGGCTTTGATGCCTTTGAACCTATTCCCAGGTGACCCGGGCTCAATTAGGCCCGGGCCCGAGCCGGGCCGTCAGGCAGGCCGCGTGATCGAGGGCGGGCCGGGCCCTTTTATTGACGCTGAACTCGGGCCTGCGCAGCGCCCGGCTTCCGCGGCTTCTCGGGCCACCCCGGGCGGCTCCAGGGGACCTTCCCCGGCGGGCACCGGGGCTCCGCAGAGCCCCAGGGAGGGAAGGCCTCGCGCGCCCGAGCGGCGGGCCTCGCTATCCCGGGACTAAGGGGCCCCGGAGCCTCCACGTCCAGCCCCACCCCGCAGGCCCGAGGTTTACACCGCGCAGCCAAGTAGCTTTCCACATCTTTTTCTGGAAACTGCGGAAATAAAAATGTAAGAAACGAGCGCGAGAGGAGCCCGATGCCCCGCCGTCCAGTCCGCGCTGGGGCGCAGCCCCTCCTGGGCTTCGCGCGTCGCCCAGGCCTGCTCCTTCCCGGACCCGCCTTTGCGCGGGATTTGCTGCTCTTTTACCGACTCCCTGCGTCACTCATGTGAGGGAGTCCGAGGCCCCGGACCCTGTTTCCAGCCCAGCGCAAATGAGTGGCATCCGCCGCCCCAGACCCGGAGAGCCTTCAGCGGGGAGGGAGCCTGCCTCGGAGTCGGCCCGCCCCGCTGCCGCTCCTGCTGATGGGCGTAGGAACGCTCCCTGGCAGTCAGGCCTGAGAGCCACTCACCTGCCCTGCCACCGGAGTAACCCCGGTAGTGGGGTGTCCGACTCAGAGCAGGGACCCGGTGTCGGAGGCGCACATAACATAGAGGCAAGAGTCTCCTTTAAAAAAAAAATCCCCTTGAAAATCGCTCAAGAAGGCACATGGCCAGCCGCGGTGATAATGATTCTGACTTTGCAAATCTAATGTTACCTGCAACAAGGTTCCTCCCGTGGTAGGGGGGGGGTGCCGGGGGAGGTGCCCACTGGCCTTCTCATCATCCTCATACTGTTCCCTCCCGAGGGCCAGGGGGTGGCAGGCTAAAATGGCCTTGCTCAGACCGTGGCAGCCCTGGTCTGCGAGGTGCACTCTGTGGGATGTGGGAGACAGAGCACCGTGCCTTCTGCCACATCCTCGCCAGGCCGGGGTTAGAGATGGTTGGTGTTCCTCTGCAGTGGTGTCTGGTCACTGGGTGCCTGGAGGCAGGGCATGAGGGCCCATTTTCTGCAGTGAGCCCAGCAGGGGTGGCAGGCCTGAGAAGGGGCAGCATGCGGTGGGGGCAGCTCCTCGCTTCCAGGGTGATTCTGGGGGTCACTGTTTTCCTGGTGCCGGGAAGCAGCATCTCTGATTCTACAGTACAGCTTGGAAGTCAGCTCTGCCGAGACCCTATTTACTCAGCTACACAGCAAATCCATCAGACCCTCTAATAGGTTGTTTCCTGCACCAAGCAGCCAGCATGGGCCCTGTTCTCCCCAGCAGAGCCGTGACTGGGACCCCCACACTCTGGCCTGATCTGGAAGGTGGACGGTAGGCCTCACCCTGAGATGTGGGGCTTTCTTGACATTAACATTTGTTTGTAATGTGGGACTGACATCGGCTTTATAAATGCCTTTAAGATCTAGTCAAAGTTGTTCTTGCAACAAGCTCATGTTAGGGTTTTTTTTTTTCACTTAGAACATATACCACATTTTAGTTGAGAAACAACAGTGGAAAGATCAATGATGACATAAACAGAAAGGGGGCCAGAGCAGGGCTTGGGGCAGAAGCCGGGCTCCCCGCCATGAACCCTGTTTTGGTAGATTTGACTTTGGAATCATGCACATTTTACATAATCAAAAAAATTTAAATCAAAATGAGAAAAAAATCCCCAAATGTCAGAGGCAAAATCAGACAAATGTACCTAATTTTTGTACCATCTTAGTGGTTTCACCATACAGACAGGAAAAATTTAAGATAGCTATACACACAGTAATTTGACTATACACCCCTACATGGGAGATATTGTAAGGCCAAAAAGAATGGCAAAAGGCTTACCCTGTTTTCCACATTCCACAATGTTTCTAGTAACAATATTGCTACAGTCATTCTAAAACTGTAAGGGAAAGAAAAGTTATTATGTTTAAGTCTTGGAGAATTGATTTCCAGCCAAAAGAAAAAGAAATAGAAATACAAAATGAAAGAAGTTAGGTAAGACCATGTCATTCTAAATCTGTTGGAAATATCAGTATGAACTTACTGTGTAGTTTCTCTCAAACAGTGTATTTCTGTTCTTAACTACTGGAAAAAACTAGATCCAGTGGCAGTGAACACCAGATTTTGGTATCTCTTTGAAGAAGTGATCAACTTAAGACCAACTTAAGATACATGTACAAGATAAGCCTGGAGCATCATGTTATGCCAGAAAGCCAGGAAGAGACCAGTGACCACTGGGGTCACATCAGAAGGACTCAGGAATGAACCTGAAGGTGTCTCCACAGGCCAAACGTGGCACAAGGTGAGTGTCAGTAAGAACAATCACTGCGGTGGACGAAGACACATCAGATGGTAAAAATCCACAATTGTATCATGCCAATCAAATAAAAACGTTATTGACCACCTGTGGCTGATGGTAGGAAATTGACTCAAGATTCCAAAAATTGGTAAATCAAGGAAAAGAATCAAGAGTGTAACCAGCCTCTCTTATCACATAATACTGCAAAGTAACGTAAGAGTTGCTAAGAATATGGATGGCTCTGCTGATGCATGCCAGCCAGTAGATGGAGTTGAACAGTTAGACTGCCTCACCATTTTGCAAACCTCATCCGTGCCAATGAGTGTTGCGAGAGAGACATGCCCCTGGTGGCAGGACCCAGCCCCATCTATGAAGGATTCCTGCCAGCTCTCCTAACCCAGGACGTGGCAGCCAGTCCCAGGAAATCCTGGGCACACCACTCACATGGCTAAGCTGCATCAAGGTGATGCAATCAGATCTAGCCCTTCTCTGAGCCCCAAAAGGCCTCATTTCACACGGAGGAGGAGCCTGTCTTTACCATGACCTGTGAGGCCAGTCCAACCTGGCAGTGATATTGCCTTATTCTGCTCTGCCTGCCTGCCCTAGGACACTGGCTTCCCGCTCCTGTCAGCGGGCCTCCCAGCCCCTTCCCCACACAGTGCAGGTGCCCATACATGAACCTGCCTGGAACTTTCTGCTGCCCAGATAGCCATGTGACTTCCTCACATCCTTCCAGTCTGTCTCAGGTATTGACCATCACATGACGAACCAACCACCTGCGTATTTACAAACACCGCCTGTTTCATTTGCTCACGGGGGCGTAGGGCAGCCCTCTGGATTGCATCCACCCGTGTGTTGTTTTAGTCAGTCCTGCCTGGTGTCACTATGTACCTGCCATCACCCTGTGGCTCTAAGATGGCCTCAGTTACAGCTGTGGCGGTGGGTAGGCTCCCGGCAAGGGCACCTCAGCTCTGCTGCATGTGTCTTCTCCAGCAAGCTAGCTTAGGCCCACTCCCATGTGGTCCCAACCACAGCCCAAAGAGAACGAGCCCCCTTGCGCAGCGCCTCCAACTTGGACCAGATTTGCAATGTCCCCTGGGCTAACGTCAGTCCCATAGCCAAGCCCAGCATTAAAACATTGATTGGCAGCTGTGTGTGTGTGTGTGTGTGTGTGTGTGTGTGTGTGTGTGCGCGCGTGCACGTGCATGCTTGTCCATCTTTTCATTGTGGCTGCCTGCTGTCTCTAGGGAGCAATTCTTCTACCTGCTTCGGGGCATCAGCCCAGGTTCCAGGGTCCTGGGCACCAAGGGAGGAAGAGGTGTGGGCAGGGCTCTCACCATTCAGAATGCCGACTTTCACACAGCTGCCCTGTTTTCAGGTCAGGCCCTCGCATCTCTGGGCACTGCCTGGTACCACCCCTCACCCCACCCACCATCTGAATGGTTTCTGACTCAAATTCTCCAGAGTACCTCCCACTCTCCTTCCAGGGTTGGGGGAGGGCTAGCACCTGGCCTCTTGGGGTGAGGGAGGGGACCTGGAAGA